GTATCAGAGCGATAGCTTCAATCTTTCATTAAAAAGTCACTTTCCATTGCCCCTCATAAAGACCTTTTCTCTATAATTTTTGATCCACCATGCTTCATCATGGTTTACTCTACCATCTCTCATTTATGGAAAAGAGCTAAGATAGAGACGAATAAATCCTTACATGTTCCACTACTTGAGATTATTGCTGCTATGAAAGAAGGATCTCTTACTCTTCCAATTGTTGCAGTAGCACATTCCACTGTTACTGTGCAATCCATAGAGGATGGCTTAATCATTGAAATGGAGCCATATTTTTCGTCTTCCGCAAGTGTAACAGAATCGCCTTCTATTGCCTCCTTCATATTCTTGCACAGAGCACCTCATGCATTTCCACTGTCAAACACAATTAATAATGTAGCCTTCATAAACACAGAAGAAAATTCAACACCCTTGTCGCCACCTTCCTTCAAGAGTGCAGTTACTCGTCACTGTCATTGTCTAGATCAAATTCATCGAGCAAATCGTCAAGCATTGAGCGTTTGTTGTCATGGATTACCTCAACAAAATTATGCCAAGTCCTTCAAGCGTTCAAAGCTTGAAGAGGATGTTTCAATTTCTTCCAGTAGTGATGTTTGCACTTGATATTAAATATGACATTGGTTTCTATGACTTAGTATTTGATAGCAATAACTGGATTAAAGATGAAGCAAGGGTTGATCTTCGGAAGATGATTCTGTTCACCAATTAAGTCACAAAGAAAGAGAAAATCACATATCTAAGAAATTTCAGTGTCAACATTGTTGCGTTTATCTCTAAAACAACAAAAAAAAATCACAAAAACTTGCTACTAAAGTTTCTAAGAAAACAAATGAATATATGATCTCTACAACACCTCCACTACACACTATTCTTATATTTGATCCCAGAGGAGCCATCACTTACTTCATTACATCTTGCCTCCCTATTACTAAAAATTTTAGAATTGTGTTGCATATAGTTTGTCTCGTAACTTTCATTGTCTCATTCACAGTTTCATATTTCATTTTTTTTATTTCAAGCTAGCTATGATTACCATTGCTAGCTTATAAGGGGGGATATTAGAGAATATAATTAGTTAGTTTGTTATGAAGTTTGTTACACCCAACAAACTCTATAAATAAGTGCAATTGTAATTCATTTGAATTATCTTTTGATCAATATGAAATATTGAGAGAATTATTCTCTCTATTTAACTTATGTTCATGATTTTCATCCTTCCCATACACTGATTTTCAACGATAAATGCACGCGTAATTTATATATTTGTTCTTTAGAGAAATTATGTGTAACCATTAATTTAAATCATTATATTAACTACTTTAACTTTTTTTTTTTGTAAAATAAAAGTTTTAGATAAGAAAGACATGTTTTGTGAGGAAAACCATAAAATATATCAATCATAGCTGGCAAAAATTTATAATGAATTTTCTACATTACCAAATAATAAAATAAATTTAACAATCAAACTCAAATCAAAATAGTATGAGCGGAAGAGTTCATTAATCGTGTGTCAACTTTGTTAATTTAGATATTATACACATAATCTTAGTTGAAACTATATTATCATGGGTATAATTTCTATAGATTAAAAAAAAGTGTATGAACTTCAAAAGGCTAGTGATACCTAATTAATTAAGTAGCTATCTTACATGGTTCCCTTCTCTCTAGGGTACCATGTCACATGAGCTTCCCCTCTAGCTATGTCACATGGGTATGTTCACAAGGGCAACAAGTACAGAGATAGTTGTGTTGATGATGTATCATATTTATGATGGTTGGATTCAGTAGGCAACGCGTGAAATACACGTCGGTTCCGGATTTGTCATGTTTGCATTGCGACAAGAGAATCAGAACCCCTCCCTCTAAAACAGAATCAAAGATAATGAGAGAAAACTTCATTATTATCATGTTCTGCAGGTACAATTATGTATATATGTGTGTTTGAGACGGAAAAATTAATGATGAGATCCGTCATGGGAAATAAGCAAATACAATAAGGACATGCATGTACTTCCAATGTTCTCAATTATAAAGGTATATATAATTCCTGTTCTTAGATATAAATAAAATTAACTATTTTTTCTCAATTATTTAGGTGGATTCATTTAAATTAAGTAGGATAAAAATTTTAAAAAGATTGCTTTCTTCTTGTCAAAAAAAATTAGGAATCTACAACTTGTTCAACAATCTGGTCAGCATGGGATTTAGTTTGTTTATACTTGCCAAGAAAGAATTACTAATATCCATGACATAGAAATGGCGGTGACAACACTAGTCACAACAATAATGTTTGTGACGATGATGATCACGATAATAACAGAAGTGATGGTGGAGATGATAATGACAATAGTAGATGATGAATGAGTAAAATAAATTTAGAAAACTCATGTTGTACATTCAAGAGAAAAAGGAGATCTACTTATTCTAAGAGTAAGTATTGATAGGGTTACTACATTTAATAACTCATGTTTTACAATAAACTTTAAAGATTCATTAACTGTTAAATTAAAAATTCTAAATATATAGATCAAATTTACAAATTTAAAAAAATTAAAAATTATTTAATATTTTATTTCATTAATTTAAATTGACAAATAATCATTAAAACATTTTATACGTTGATTTGAATTAATGAAATAAAGCATCAAATAATTTTTAAACTCTTAAAAAGTTTCACTTTAAGATTTGTTTTAAGTTTAACGATGTGTTAGGTTGACCCTATATAAAGGAGGGATGTGCTTATTCTAAAGTGAATTTTAGTAAAGTACTCCACTTGGTAACTCACGATCGATTTATATTAAATTTTAATGATTAAATTATTTAATTAAATTTTTTTATTAAATAAATCAAGTTTACAAATTAATGTTTATAAATTTGAAAACTATTTGACAATAAGTTACATTAATTCAAATTGATGTATATTCATAAAATTATACTATACATTAATTTGAATTTATATAACGAAGTATCATATTATTTTCAAATTTTGTAAAATATTATAAACTCAATCTATTCATTAAGAACTTTTAATTTAACTATTGGATCATTGAAATTTAATGTAGGTTATGAGTTATTAAGTAAAATAATTATATCATATTTTACTCTAAGAATAAATGAATCATTTCCAATATATTAAGTGATGTTGCATTTTTAGGACACTCATTAAGACAAATTTTATTAATTTATTTTAAATATTTTATATTAAGCAAGATTAAAGGAGAAATGAAAATATAATATTCTTCACGCCTTTATTGTCAAACATTTTATTAGAATGTGTTTAGTAGGATGAAGTTAAAAACCTTTTGCAAGAGGTTTTTTGGTTTACACATGTACATTTAGATGTAATTAAATATACGAATTTTTATTTTAATTTGTTTCTTTTCACAATAAATGTTTTTATGTAAAGTAATACTTGCAAGGGTGCTACATTTTAATTACATTGAGATTGAGTCAAAAGTTAGTGTAATTGTTATATTATTTACACAGATTGATCTGATTATGATGTATATGTGTGGAGGATTGAAAAACTTCTCAATTTATAAGAAATGGGCTTACCCCTAACCAGCCTTCTTCTACTTATACCGAAACATTGGCCTAAAAGATGTCACAATGAAAAAAAAAAAAAGGAGGCCCATAGATATAGAAGGGCGAGTGGAGAAGTAAGAGGCCCAAAATAGAAAGAGTAAGAAATGTGGAAATTTGGTTCCGCAGGTGGTGACAGCGTATCGTGCGCATTGCTGTCCTTTTGTTTTGGTCTATCTTTGAGTCATGTGCGAATGCACTCATGCACATGGCTTACCCTTCCCCACCCACGTGATTTGCCTCCATTCCTCCCTTCTTCAAATTACCAATCTCTCCCTCTCTCACTCTCACATCTACATCATTTTCTCTTCAACAACACTTTTAATCATAAATGTCTTTTCTTGCACCATCCATCATCAAACCCTCTACTTTCTCTTCACAATATCGCTTTCTCTTCGACTAACTTACCCTCTAATTTTTTATTTGTGTAGTATCATCCCTTGGGTGGTGTTATCCATGATAACTCAAGAATTTCATGTTAATTGAATCATTTAATTTATAGGATCGAACTTTTAAAAAATAAAAAATAAAAAATAGTAGACACTTTGCATTATTTTGTTGGATGAGTAGAAAGAGTGAAGATTGTTTCATGGAAAAGAAAATCATGTAATCTTTTATTTCAGCAATGCAAAAGAGGATATGATCACAAACATATATTTATGCATGATACCTTGATTTACATTGTATGATTTTATATCTAATTCAAATAAACACTTCATTTAAATAGAGGGAGGAAAAAGGAATTATGAGTCGATTGACATGAATGCTTTCGTTTCTGTCATTGTTAAGTCATTGATTGATATATTCTTTTAAGTATTGGCAAGTTGTATTGAAATTATATTTTTGTTTTTTTATACTTTTAATGAATATATAACTCTTTCTTTTTAGTTACAACAAATTATGTGAGGTTTTCTTTTTTTATAATTATGTTATCGGTGTGAAGTGTGTATCAATTTTATCAAATGACAAAGTTTTACTAAAATATCTGACCTACTACGTTAAGTAATTTAGGTAAAGTAAAAATATACTTCAAAGTTACAAATTATATATTTTTATATTATTTAAGTTTTAATATTTTTCCCCCAAATACGTATTGATTTTACATGGTCATTTTGTTTTTCAATATTCTAAGAGCTATATATCATATACATATACTGTATAAATCAACATCAACAGCAAAGCAAGTAAATAAAACAAGATTATTGAATGGTGCAAAATTTAGGGATAAGATGTTAGCATAGGAATCAAAGGTAGAAGAAGCTCATCACGTTATCATGAAAACCGGTACACATAATTAATAAATAATAGAGTGAGGAATCTAAAAGGACCAAAACTCCAATTATCCAATTTGCTTGTTGCAAAGTTAAAAGCCAACCGCATCTATTTATAGCCCATACAACCTCTGCATCTGAACCAAACCAAACCATCTTAAACCCCTTTTTCTCTCTCTTTTTTCCCTCTTTCTCCACAAAAAGAGGTCTTTGACCCTTTTGTGTAGTGCAATGGCCATGGCTAAGTTTCTCTCTGTGCTGCTTCTAGCACTCCTTGGCATTTCCATGATCACAACTCAGGTTAGTTAATTAGTCCCTTCTAAACACAGCCCATTGTTACACTAACATGTTACCGTTGTCTTGTACTATATATATGCTTTAGACCTTGCTTTAATTTAAATTAATTAAACTTTTACTACATCTTTTCAGGTTATGGCAACAGATTCTGCTTATCACTTGGATGGAGTGAGTATCTCTTCTCTTTGTTTTCAACATTTTTCACTATCCTCTTAACACCATTGGTGAGAAATCATAGCTTGGTTTGAGATTATGCAATTAATTGTGCTCAATTTTCACGTGACACATTATTATATTTTTCAATTTTGCATGAAAAAGTTAATAATGTGTGACGCAGATACACGATCTCAGATCATATAATAATTTCTCTTCTTGAGCATTTCACGAAACTGAAAATTGGTATCTTGATTATTTTTTACTTCATTAATTTTCAGAGAAATTATGGACCTGGGAGTCTAAGGAGCTCACGTGAGTAATCATACATACATTCATACTCCATTATTTTGGTCACTAAGTTGTATTATTTGTTGATCACAATTCATGAATCTAGAATAAATGTTTTTGGAATCTAATGGGTTATAAGCTTTCAATTGTGTGAACTAAGTGTGATATAATGGGTTATGTCTCTGAATTTGGTTTGATCATCAGAGTGCCCCTCTGAATGCTCGAGAAGATGTAGCCAGACACAGTACCACAAACCGTGCATGTTTTTCTGTCAGAAATGCTGCAAAACGTGCTTGTGTGTTCCTCCTGGTTACTATGGCAATAAATCTGTGTGTCCCTGCTACAACAACTGGAAGACCAAGCGTGGAGGACCAAAATGCCCTTGAAATTAAAAAAAAACATTAATTAATTAATTAATTTCACCTACAATCTTATAATTGTATTACTCAAAGTGGAACTATCAACTATATGGCCATTGCTAGCTGTGTTGTGGGTAGCACCTACTAAGACTATAACCATCTTGTTCTCTACCATGAAATTAATTAAATCATTGATTTCATGCAAGAAGTTCTAGCTAGCCTATATGTTACTCCCTTTCATGAAAAAGTACGAGAGGGTGGTTCATCTGATAAATCAATTATCTTTGTCATATTGTACTTTTCTTTAGCTTTATATAATGAAGTTATTTTATAATTTTGGTCTGATATAATGTATGATTACCACATGTCATGTAGTTGCGAGCTTATTTTAATTCTTGTATGTCGTGATTCTCTTCAGTTCCCTATACTTATGCGTATAGAATCTGCTGGCATCTGCATCAGAAGCAGGGCCATAGTGCATCACTGATATATACTTACAAATATTAAATGTTAAACGTTCGAAATATATAAATAGAAAAAACATATATATAAACAAAATAACCGTATGTCCTAATCTGAACATCTAAAAGTTTATTTTGGCCTTTTAAAAAGTTAGCAACATTTATCTAGTTCTTTATTATAATTTTTTTATTTTAGAATTTAATTAAATTGCATGCACCGATAGTATAAAAGCTTTTTTACAATGTTAGAGCTAATCATTTATGGGAAAGTTGTTGATTTTTCTAGAAATTACTTTAAAAATTATATTTAAAGTAATTTCTAATTGCTTAATGAATTAAAATTTTACATTGACAATATATAAAAAAATTATTTATTTATAACTATAATAAACGTGATAGAACTTTTTTCATTGTCCTAACTTTGTAAGTAGCTACCTACTTCATAAGCAATCATTTTTTAATCATTTGTTATTATATAATTTTTATTATTTTTAAAAATAATTCACATAGAGACAAATATATTTTGTACATTATTTTATATAATTTCAATTTAATATTACCAGAAAACAACAATTTTATAATATTTTAATGTAAGAAAATTATCATTTGATCGCCTAATTAATATTAATAATATTTTAAAAATTAAAATAATGTTATGAAAAAAAAATTTACAGTATCGAATTGGAGGTATGTTACTTTATTTATACTTATATATAGAGGAGATAAATTGATTTATAATTATTTTTTATTTTTATTTTTTTAAGATGATTTTATCTTTAAATTTTAAATAATAAAAAATAATATAAGAAGTTATTTTTATTTTGACCACTTAAATAAGTTAATCATTCAAATACTCAAATTATTTACCATCTATTTTATTTATTTAATCACAAATTTTTTTTATTTTTAAATTTAAAAGAAAATATAGAACCATAAATTGTAATTTGATATTAAATAGACCACAAGTCTACAACACGTTACTTTTGTCTCTTGGGCCGGAAGAGAATATTGAAGAAAAAATAATAATATTTTTTTATGTTTATCAACATGCCCCAAACATTGGTTGAGAGTTGAAAATTAAGAATTTATTTGTGTTTACAAATAATATTGTTTATCACATATCCAATAAACAGATTATTATTTTTAATTTCACTTTACTTATGTTTTATATAATTATAATGATATAATAAAAAATATATAACTTGTACTGAAAAATGACAAGAACATGATAATAATCTCCTTAAATATCAGTGGCAAAATACTTGTTTGATTTTTCTCTCAACAGTCTCAAGAAAATTTTCTATATCATATATGTGGTTTTCTTTTTCCTCAAAACTCTATGGGTTTTGGTTTCTTATGGGATGAAATGAAATGATTTTTTTTTCTCGACTCTCCTTCCAAATCTCTTGTAATCTGTTTTATTTTATTTTTTATTTATTTTTCTACTTTTTCCTTTCCTTTCCTTTCCTTTCTTTTCCTTTCTCGACTCTCCTTCCAAATCTCTTGTAATCTGTTTTATTTTATTTTATTTTATTTTATTTTATTTTATTTTATTTATTTTCCTACTCTTTTCTTTTCTTTACTTTTCTTTCCTTTCCCAATTTTGGGGAGGCTCCAATAGTCTAGCTATTTTCAACAAAAATACGTATTTGTCTTTAATTTAGTTATAATATTTGAATTGAGCCAGACCTATTGACATCAATTATTATAAATATGAAAATTAATACTAAATCTTATATTTTTAACAATTTTTTATATAATACAAATTTAAGTGATTAAATTTTTGAATTATGTGATATTATATTTATGATTATATATATCAAATTTTATGATTTTAACTTTTTTTAAATATGTTATTTAACAATGAATATTTATATATTTTTTAAATATTATATTACGTGTTAAACTAAAGTAGATGAATTATTTAATAATTTTAAGATATTTGAAAACAAATTTCTAAAAAATACTATTTTTTTAAATATACTTTTAGAAGTATGTTTGAAAACAAATTTTTAGAAAATACTTTCCGAAATGTTATATATAAGTATGGAAAAGTATTTTTTTGAAAGATTTTTTTTAACAAGAAGAAAAGAAATGAGGTGAAAAAAAGAAGAAGGAAAGAGTTGTAACAAGTAGAAGAAGTGAGTGTTAGAGAGAGAGAGTTGAAGGAAGGGGAATTTGTAAAGAGTAGTTTCCAGAAAATACAAGTTAGAAATAAAAATTAAGAATATCTAGGAATACGTAATGAAAAATAAAATAAAATAAAATAAAATAAAAGATATATTATTATTTAATTAAGGTGCATTTTACAAAAGCAAATTGTTTTACATTAAGGCATTTTGTTTAAATAAAATCAAAGCCTTTTTTTAAAAGGGTGATGATATATACACCTTCTATTTTTTATAAATACACCTTCAATCTTTTTTTGTAAATTAAAATTCTTAAAATATCTTTCTAACTAAATATGATTATGTTGATGGAAACATTAATTTTAACATTCCGGAAAGTATTTTCCAGTATAGTAAAATTATTATTCCGGAAAGCATTTTCCGGAAGTGTATTTCTTATATAATTCTGGAAAGTTCTTTTCGGAACATTAAATTTAGTATTCCGGAAAATATTTTCCAGAATTATGTAACAAGCACACTTCTAGCTTTATTATTTTTCTAACTTATAATTTTTCAGATTCACACCTCCTTTCTTACCGTTTTTCTTTTTTCTTTGTGCACCTCGTTTCTTCTTCTTTACTTTTTTCTCCGCACCTCTATACCTCCCCTTCTTCCCTTTTCAATTTCTGCATTATCCTCTTCCCTTTTTAGTTTTGTTATAAGTTGTAAGCGGGTTCAGTATCGAAGGGAAAGGTGTCAAACCATATACATTTTTTCTTCCAAGTAATTCTTCTCACTATTTGTTCAGGAAAGTGTTTTCCGGAATAATAAAGCTTTTGTTCCGGAAAGTATATTTAGGAATAGTAAATTTTTTATTCTGAAAAGTATTTTTCAGACTTGTTACATAATTCCGGAAAATATTTTCTGGAATACTAAATTTAATATTCAGGAAAGAACTTTCCAGAATTATATAAGAAACTCACTTCCGAAAAATGCTTTTCGGAACAATAATTTTACTATTTCAGAGAATATTTTCTGGAATGCTAAAATTAACGTTTCCATCAACATAATCATATTTAGTTAGAAAGATATTTTAGGAATTTTATTTTAATAAAAGAGATTGGAGGTGTATTTATAAAAAATAGGAGGTGTATATATCATCACCCTTTTCTAAATAAATGACAGTGGGCTTTTCGGCGAGAGAGAATAACAACTTTCCGGGCCCAATTCATTTTTTATAGAGCAAGGGAG